CAAGGAGAAAAATCTGCAAATAGTATTGCAAAATTCCATTACTCTCAAGGGGGGGTCATATGTTCCCACAGCCCTTAAATTATATAAAGCCAAGATGCTAGCTCAACTGTTATATGGCTCATTTATGGGGCCACCCAGTTCCTATTTTGCACCCCTAGAAAGAGTCCAGTCTAAGTTCCTAAGAACTATCTTACAGGTCCCTAGACGTGTGTCAAATGCCAGGGTAAGACTGGAGACAGGCTGTTTAAAAGTTGAAGCCTGGGTCCGTATTCTATCAATACATACCTGGCTAAAGGGGTATCTCAACCCACAAGGTTTACTCCCTCTGATACTCTGCGACAATTTCCAATCAAATTGGTCTAAGTCTTCCCATTTTCTTTCCCTGCCTGGTCACATGGCAAAACTGCCCAAGATCCTTTCCCCTCAATCCCTGCCAAATCCCATCCTGTCACAAAACAACAATAAAAAACACGTTGTTGGAACTTCCCCCTACTTTACGATTGCTGTGCTGCAAACAAATAGGTCCCCCCCCCCCAGGTGCGCTTATCTTTTGGAACAGACCAAGCAAAAATATTAGTTAAGCAGAGAATTGAGGATATAGAACGCCAAACTGATCTTTCCAGCATACAAAACATTAAGATGAGGGCAATGATCAAAAATACTGTGGGTACAGCCAACTATTTAACATCCCTTGAATTAAAGGGGTTTAGAAGAGCCCTCACTCTGGCGAGGTGCTCTGCCCTCCCTTCTGCTGTACTTGAAGGAAAATACAAGAATACTCCTTTCTCAGAAAGGCTTTGTACCTGCCATTAAGGGAGGTTGAGACCAATGCTCCCTCTAAGCTGTGGAGTCTTGTTGTGAGCAAAAATTCTACTTTGAGAGCTACTGGCCTTAAAGTTGTGAGTGAGCGATTTGGCGATTGCATAAATTAGTTTGCTCTGGAGCCATCCTTCCTGAGCTAAGACTAAAATGGGTGAGCTGGAGGCTAAAAAACTGTGAGCTAGTTCACACTAACTCAGTTTAGAGGGAACACTGGTTGAGACTACCAAGCACATGTTTTTTAGATGTCCGTATTATAAGGTGGCCCGTAATAAAATCACTCCGCTGACTGAACAAATTCCGGGTCATTCCGAAAAAGCTAGACTTGAGTTTCTTTTATCTGACAGAAACCCCCAAATTACCCACCAAGTAGCCAGTTCTGCATGGTGGTACTCAGATCACAGAAACTCTAAGGTAGCTAGTTAGATATAGTTTGATATTAGATTAAATTTTAATTTGCTTTTAATGTGTCACTGAAGTATTTTAAAATCTTGGAATACTGTAAAGGTGTACTTCTTTTTGTATGAGTGGTATAAGGACTGTAGAAATAAACTGTACAAAATAGAGGCCACTGTGTGACAAAGTGTTGGACTAGATGGGCCATTGGCCTGATCCAACATTGGCTTCTCTTATGTTCTTAATAAGGACGCTTTCGAGGACATTAATTCATGGGGTCATCACCAAATCGGGACACTCTCTCTCTCTCTCTCTCTCTCTCTCTCTCACACACACACACACACACACACACACACACACACACACACACACACACAGAGTTGGTTACTAGCAGTCATGAATTGAGATTTTATTTTTTTTATATTTTTGTATCTATCTTGTAAGAAAGAGACAAAGAGGGGGAAAGAACTTAACCCAAATGTTGAAATCAAGAGCCAAAAATGTTAACAACAAACAGAATAAATGGCCTACAGTTAAATGTTATCAAAAATATATGTATTTAATATTAAGCAATTAAAAACAATTGGGGGCCCAACATTAGCCTCATTGCAAATTAAAATATACAAAACACAAGTGGAAAACAATGCTATCCAACGCGTTTTGGCCCTGAAAGACCTTCTTCAGAGGTCAAACATTTTGTACACAGGCTCATGATACAACTTATAACTATTCACAATTCAATAGCAGACAAAAAAGAGGGGTTTTAAAAAGAAGAATGAAATGGCACAAGACTTAAGGATGAATCCATGCCATGTTGGCTCTGACCTGGCACTTACATCTGTATTTCTGGACCAAATTTGGGAGGCATACAATAGAAATATTATTCAACACGTATGCCTTTGATTATGACATAAGGCTGCATTACAAGAGGCCTTGTAATTGATGGGGCAGACACTGACCAAGAGAGAGATCTTGGAGTCATAGTTGATAAGTCACTGAAAATGTCAAGACAGTGTGCGACTGCAATAAAAAAGGCCAATGCTATGCTGGGGATTATTAGGAAGGGTATTGAAAACAGATCAACCAATATCATAATGCCCCTATATAAATCAATGGTGCGACCTCATTTGGAATACTGTGTGCAGTTCTGGTCACCACACCTTAAAAAGGATATTATAGCTTTGGAAAAAGTGCAGAAAAGGGCCACTTGAATGATAAAAGGGTTGGAACACTTTCCCTATGCGGAAAGGTTAAAGTGCTTGGGGCTCTTTAGCTTGGAGAAATGATGGCTGAGGGGTGACATGATTGAGGTTTATAAGATTATGCACGGGATAGAGCAGGTAGAGAAAGAAATACCTTTCTCACAATACAAGAACTTGTGGGCACTCCATGAAATTGCTGAGCGGTCGGGTTAGAATGGATAAAAGAAAGTACTTCTTCACCCAGAGAGTGATTAACACATGGAATTCACTGCCACAGGAAGTGGGGGCGGCTACAAGCATGGACGGCTTCAAAAGGGAGATAAGCATATGGAGCTTAGCCACAAGGTATAGATAGGGGCTCTGGGGCAAGTGATGGTCTGTCTTCTTGGTGCTTGGGGGGGCAACAGTGGGAGGGCTTCTAATGTCCTGGCCCCACTGCTGGACCTCCTGACAGCACCTGGTATTTTTGGCCCCTGTGTGACACAGAGTGTTGGACTGGATGGGCCATTGGCCTGACCCAACATTGGCTTCTCTTATGTTCTTATATGGAGCAGAACTCCATCAGTGGCTCTTAGCCACAAGGTATAGATAGGAACTCATAGGCTGGGGCAAGTGATGCTCTGTATTCTTGGTGCTTGGGGGGGGGGGCAACAGTGGGAGGGCTTCTAGTGTCCTGGCCCCACTGCTGGCCCTCCTGACGGCACCTGGTATTTTTGGCCCCTGTATGACACAGTGTTGGACTGGATGGGCCATTGGCCTGATCCAACATTGGCTTCTCTTATGTTCTTATATGGAGCAGAGGTCCATCAGTGGCTATTAGCCACAAGGTATAGATAGGGACTCTGGGGCAAGGGATGCTCTGTATTCTTGGTGCTTGGGGGGGGGACCAACAGTGGGAGGGCTTCTAATGTCCTTGTCCCACTGGTGGACCTCCTGATGGCACCTGGTATTTTTGGCCACTGTGTGACACAGAGTGCTGGACTGGAGGGGCCTTTGGCCTGACCCAACATTGGCGCCTCTTATGTTCTCATTTACATCAGAGAGAGAACAAACGGTTATGGTTTGATCATATTCTGCACCCAATTTCTTTCACAGTGCTCAAATATGAAACAGTGCCTGAAAGAAGCTTGAACACTGGAAACGTATCGTGCAAGTCAATAAGACTGATTTCAGTCTCTCTCTTCCATGTGAATGCTGTTCTCAAGGCCTATTTTCAGAAGGGGAAGAATACTATAGAGGATGGAAATCTTGATTTATCACAAATTGGCTCTGATTAATTACCCAAAGGGAGGAGGGAGCGAAAGAGAGAGCACCCCTCTCACACGGGGAATGGCGTGTGCAATCCATGTATAGTGGGGGTGACAATACAGCCTCAGATTACGTGCCCACGCTGGAAGCCACTGCCAGTTGTGCCTTCTCAACAAAGTATGTAGCAAACTACACACACACAAACACACACGTTTACACAAACACTGATGACATTTGCTAAAGAGGAATCCTTTTGTATAGGAAGTTTGCAGCCTTGAGAAAGCTTGGAAGCTTACCTCCTGTTTCTGTATTGTAATAATAGGTATGACCATCTTCACTCACTCCTTCCACCCACCGTCCTGGCTATTAGAAAAACACAAGAGAGCCAATGAGCCAATTAATACAAAACAAACCCTTCCTGATGCTCTGCATGGGCCTGCCCTTGTGACAGACAGCACCTGATCGTCATTAAAAGCAATTGGGAATCCACTCTATTTGCATCCTGCCCTCCCTCCCCAGAGAACAGGGCCTCCCTCACAGCAGCCCAGGCGGGTAAGGCAGAGTGGGACTGGGCACTCGGACCTGGGTCTTCCCAAAACGAGCCCAATACTAAACTGCAACACCACACTGTCTTTAATGCTGGAATAAAGTAGAATGAATTAACATGGCTGTGGGGAGTGAAGGGGGGCAAATCAATATCACCAATGCAGAATTCTTATATTCTCCAGCACAATACCCCATAGTGAAGATCAACACGGGGTCTGTGGTATTCCAGAATGGAACAGTAGAAATTCCTTCCACTTGGGAGTGAACGTACCTGAACCACATGGGCGTGCTGTTCCAGAATCCTAGTCCCCTTATCACATCCATTTAAAAAGAATAAACCCCAAGGGACCCTATCTACCCTTGTCCCGTATTGTTCAATGTAGACTGCTCTGTGACACGTCATCCTCCCGGCTTTCCAGTCAGGCTGCAGAACAAAACTGTTCCAGAAAGCTTTGGGGGCAGTTGGAGCCTGGGCAGAGGGAAACACTCACTGGTGGGCAGCATAAGATGATTTCAGACGGGCTTTAATTGTTTTTGTGTTATGTTTAATCGTTATGTCTTTTCAATTGGTTGTGGCCTGGGGGAACCCAAGCTGAGTAGAAATAAATAATTTTTGTTCTTTTTCATAAAAGTTTTTCTAAAACAGTTCTTTACATCGTTACCCACCTAGGTCCTGAGATGCTCGGGAGAAAGGTGGACACAAAAATATTTAAAAACCCAAACTCTGATATCCAAGCAAGATAGGAATCATTTCACCTTTCTGCAAAGTCTTCGGTTTCATCCACTAGCCTCTTTATCCCCCTCCACTGAAATGACCCCTAAGCACTTAGAGGCACATTTGCAGACATCCATCCCATGTTACCCTTTGCTGCTCCCAACCCTGCCCTCACCCAGGGTCAGTATTTAGTGCATAATGTCCTCCAGGCAGTGACCTGGCTTCATGTTATTCGATGGTGCGGCATAATAAAGAAAAAATAACAATGGTAGCTTTAGTATTCTCCATTAGATGTGGGATTATCTAGGGGGAAACGGGGTCAAATGTGCAGTAGCTCAAGGGGCTGTTGGCTCATTTAGCAGACCATGTAATGATGAGGAAGCAGCATGCATGGGAAAGATGGCAAAGGATGTTATAAGTTACCGGCACTTAGTAGGGAATGTGGGCTCCCTATCCAAATCATCCCCAATGCATGGACATTTCTACTGAGGAGGACATAGGCAATCCCTTCTGTATACAACAGTGTTCCTCATTTCTTCAATCCTAATTTGTTGTCTTTGACTCTACTAGGACAAGGTTTTATCAGAGATGGGCTACATTCTTCTCAGGAGACTCTGTTTTTTACATCGAGAATGTGCCAACATTTGGGGAACTGTTCTAGAGAGGTGCAGATTCTGCAAGAGCCCACACATAAAAAAGAGCCCAGAACCAGCTGTCACGGTCCAGGGGATGCCCCGTGGGGGTCTTTGCACATGTGCAGCAAGGCCCAGCGCAGCCTTGGAACCTTTTAGGACTCTCTGGAGGCAAAGACCATTTTCATTTCTATTAGGGAGAATCCCAAAGCTGAACTTTCACAGTACAAAAGAGAAAGAGTCTAGTAGCACCTTAAAGACTAACAAAATTTGTAGCAGGGGAAGCGCTTTCACGAGTATCTGAAGAAGTGGGTAGTGACTCATGAAAGCGCCTACTCTGCCACATATTTTGTTAGTCTTTCAGGCGCTGCTGGACTCTTGTTCTTTTCTACTGCTACAGACAGACTAACACAGATATCCATCTTGATCTGCACTTTCACAGTGCATTTACTCAGGTTTTAGAAGGTGAACTGTGGTTCCTGAGGCAGGCTGAGGGACTACAATCATACAAGAACTGTGAAAGATCGTGCAATGGTAACGGAGAACAACTAAGGCTTCTAGAGGCTTTCAGTATGTGCATTCCCCGGCCCCCAGCACAAGGTGAATTTATGTGATACTGAAAACTCAGCAGTGACAGACACAGTATTTATATGTAATTACCATTTGGGACTCCTGAGGGTCGTCTTCAAATACGTTTGGTTTCTCCCACTGTGATTCTTAACAGAAAAAATAAAGTATCAGACTTAAATTCTGCCTGCCTCAGAACAAAATTATGCACAGTGAGAAATAGAGAAGTGAAGCCCCCAAAATCTGGAAAAAATGCTATTTTTATGAAGGAAAAAAATGGGAAGTTTTGGGGAGTATTACAGAAAAATCCTATGAAATATTTTCCTTTTTAGAATGAGTGGAATGGTTCTTAAGGCAAGGTTTTTCTCACTCCAAGAGGCTTTGTCCATTTTTCAAGTGGAAAAAATGTAAAATTTGGGGTAGCACTGAAAACTATGATATTTTTGAATGGATAAGATGAACAACTAGGTTTTCACTCAAAATGTGTAGTATGAAGCATATTTATAAGCCGACAGCATTGTATAATGTCACTTCCTATGTATGCTGTAGACAAATAACATTTAAGAACTTTTTTGTTGAATATAAATAATTTTAAGAATTAATATGCTATAAAGTGTTTAATAGTCATATATTATTGAAGACTATAATGTTTTCAATGCTATGTAGTTTAATTTCATATTCTAAAATGCAGGCAAAATGTGAAATGTTTGAGTGCCCAAATAATAACACTTTTTTGGTTTAATACGGAATCTGTTTTGTTTCTTCAACTTTTATTTCTTTCCTGCTTCTCAGGCAAAACTTAAGATAAGGCATGTGCTATGGCAGCAGAGGGTGCCACAGTTTGCAACTGTTTCTCAAGCATGTGGTATATTGGCAGTTTTCTAAAATAGAAAATTAAGATATTTATACTTCTAAATTCCATGAATGTCAACTACTATAATATTCTGGGTTATATATAATGCATGTTATCTGCAACAAGTAAAAGTTCAGCTTTGACACGGAAGCATATATTTCAATTTTCCCCCAAAATTTTCACCCTCATGGCTTCAAGATGTCCAGAAATCTTATATCTCTAGAGAGCAAAAAAAAAGACAATATTAGAATCAGAAACCATTTCTAGCGACCTGAATGCCCAGCTTCACATTCTGTGCTCACCTCCCGAGATGGTGTTGTAGTAATACATGTAGCCTTCCGAAGAAAATCCGCGCACCCATTCTTTTGTTGCATCTGATGAAGTTTCTGGGGCCTTTGCCTCTCTTTTCCTCTTTTCCTTCTTTTCCCGCTTTTCTTCTTGCTTTTTTGGGGGGGCTGGACTTACAGATTCTGAAACACAATGAGCCAAATTTTCAAAAACGTGACCCTCACAACTTCCACAGTTGATACTCTGGTCTCAACCCTTCCCCCCAAAGGCAGAAGGGTAGAACTTTAATGATTTGACTTATACATTACTGAGTAATTTCGGGGAGGAAACAGCTGGAACAATTTAATTTTTTCAGGCTGTCAGAGTGGGAATATTAAGAAGTTTGCTTGATTCTGCAAGATTAGCAGACAGATCCATTTATTTTCTAAAACTGAGTTAACAAATGAACAATGCATGTCTATGAAAATAGTAGCTTTGCCTTTACACTCTGATCAGATATTTAATGTACCCCTCTGCTTAAAAAGATGATGAAGGATCTCATACTTTTGACTCCTGGAATAGTTAAAAACCGTTTTCTACTAAGAGAATTATGATTTGCTAATTTCTGCAGTCAGTTCAAAAGTGCCACTTCCTCTGGAAGCATCCCTAATCTAATTGGAATAGTACAAAACTATGGCCTAAGGACAGAACCTTGAAAATCAGTCAGAACACTTCACAGATGGACAAAAATATAGCAAGGAGACCTGATTTTTTGGTCAAGTTGCTCAGAATTTCCATCAGAGAGGCAGTCATCTACATGGCATTTGGACCGCAGACCTCCAGGTTTCTGTCCTCTCAGTCATTCTTTGCAATATTTAGGCTGCTAAATGAGATCAACTAAGCCTCCAGAAGCAGCTGTCTCTGCCCTGAACAACTGCCTAGATGAGGCAAGCATATTCTGCCCTGTTCTCAGGCCAAGCTAAACAATTTGTTTACCTTAGAAAAGACACAGATTTGGATCCTGCCCTGATGGCAACCCCAGCAGTCCTGAGAACACAATCAGCAAGAAGGTCCATATCTCTGGACTTGCATGGATTTTTAGGAAGCTGACTGCAGATGAGACACTTGCTAGCTCATGCTGCAACAGGTGGGAGCTTGGCCTGACCATAAAACTGTCTCGCACATTTCGGAAAAAGCTTCAGAGGCCGACCATGTCAGTCTGCAGTAGAACAGCTAGATCTGAGTCCAGAAGCCCCTTAGAGTCCAAGAAAAGCTTCAGGGTATAAACTTTCAAACTCAATGCTCCCGGGAACTTTGACTCTTGAAAGTTTATGCCCTGGAACTCTTGTTGGCCTCTAAGGTGCTTCTGGACTCAGATCTATCTGCACAATTTAGAAGTTTCAGATCCTACCTGCCTTAACTCCAAGCCTTTTCAAATCCTCCTGATAGGCCTTCATTGCCGCTTCTTCCATGGCTGCAAATTCTTTTGACATTTTTTCTTCTTGCTTTGCTTTTTCCAAACTTTTCTTTTTAATCTACGACAACAACAACAAAAGTGGCTAAGAGAATGTAAAGATAGATTCAGGTGGGTAGCCCTGTTGGTCTGAAGCAACAGAACAAAGTTTGAGTCCAGTGGCCCCTTTTAAGACCAACAAAGTTTTATTCTGGGTATAAGCTTTCATACGCATGCACACTTCATCAGATACCGTGCATGCACATGAAAGCTTATACCTAGAATAAAACTTTGTTGGTCTTAAAGGGGCCACTGGACTCAGAATTTAAAATTATTTGTTCAGAGAAAACAAGGTCATGTTTGAATTACCTCACTAATTTTCTTAGCCACATTTTCCTTATGGTTCTTTCCTCTTTCATGAAATTCAATACTCTTAAAAAAACAGAGAGAGAAAGAGAGAAAATTAATACACACAAAGAAGAAATTGGCTGGAAACTTTTACAACTGAAAAACATCAAAATGTCAGTATTGATAAGCATGCCTCCCAGTAATCTAGAGTTCAGCAGAATATGACAAAAACTCAGCGAAACTTCCACAACATTTCACAGTGGTGAAGTTTTCTGAAATTCAGACTAGAAGTGAAATATAGGAAAAATTCAGAGAACAAAAATAAACATTTTGTTTTAATCGTAATTGAGAACATAAGAGAAGCCAATGTTGGATCAGGCCAATGGCCCATCCAGTCCAACACTGTGTCACACAGTGGCCAAAAATACCAGGCGCCATCAGGAGGTCCAGCAGCGGGGCTAGAACTCCACAAGCCCTCCCACTGTTCCTCCCAAACACCAAGAATACAGAGCATCACTGCCCCAGACACGGTGTGCCATCTGTACCTTGTGGCTATGGGTACACCTTTGTCACACATTTTATTCAGTTCATTTTTATATTAGGCCAAAGTTCTCTTTTTCAAACATTAAAATTACAACTAATAACACCAATATAAACAACAAATATTTTAAAAAGCAACAATTTTTAAAAAGTGCAGAGAGCTTCAAATAAAAGCATCTAATAAAACAATAGAAACAAAGACAAAAAAATTGAGCCACGATAACAGGCAGCAGGAAAGCAATAAAAACCAGTAACTTACAAATCAAAACCCAGGGTTAGACACACATGCAATAAAAAAATAAAAATAAAATCCCAAGAGAAAAATAATGTTGGCCTCTAAGGTGCTACTGGGCTTGAATCTTGCTATCCTGAACAACAGCACCCAAAAATGTAAACCGCCCAGAGACCCCTACGGGGGTTAGGGCGGTATATCAAGTTGAAATAATAACTAAATAAATAAATTCTCAGCTCGCTGACTTCCAGCTTTAGCAGGGTGTGACTCTGCTTAGGGTGTGGCACTGTTCCTCTCTCAGCAGGCTCACCTTTCAGATACTTGCACCCCAGCCTGTTTAGGGCAGTCTTAAGTGCCCAAATTTACAAGGAGATGAAGAAGCAGGAAGAAACGTTCTACTAATAAGTTGGCAAGCTAATGCAAACAGCCCCCTTATCAATAGATTACCTGTGAAGGTAAATGGCTGTCTTTGTTCACCCAGCTCTTTAGCTGCTTTGTTACAGCCACGGTGGAGCTGAAGTGACACAGGGGTGAGCGGGGGGGGGGGGGGGGCGTTTCCCTGTGTTGAAGGAAAGAGTCAAAGCTCTATTTGATACAATGGATGAAGAGAGCTTTGATTCTCGAAATCTCATACCCCCAAAAACCTTGATTGGGTCTAAGCTGGTACTGGACTGAAATCTAGTTGCTCTACTCCAGAAATGCTCTATCCTCTGAAATGATCTTCATGGGGGAGCTCTGGTAGTTGTTACATGGTTGGTACGCTGTGGTATATTTCAACCCTAGCTAAGCCTGCGATGGTTCCGCGGCTGTCAACAAAGGCAGCAGCAACTGCAAAGCAGCAGCATTCTTGTAGGCTGTTGTTCCCCGTGTCTCTGGACAGAGAGATTTAAGCAGGGACTTGGTGAGTACACCTCAAAATACTTATTCCAAGGGTGCACTTATCTACTGATTAAAAGTTAGTTTAAAGCTGCGTAATGCAAATTCTTGTACATCAGACCAACTTAAAAGTACAGTAGGTAAACCGTCATACAGGCTTGTTGTCGGCTATCCAGCACTTGCAGTAATCACAGAATTTCTTGGGCTGTGATTTCCAGTAATCAGCCCTGGAAAAGAAAAATCAGAAATAGCCTACCTTTACATTTGGAAACTGAATGCAGTTTTGTAAGAGACAGCAAAATCCAGCCTGCTCACAGAATTATTTTCCCCAAAGCCAAGGATTTCTCTTCCATAACAGGTTGGACAAATGGCACCTTGCACACACCCCCCCCATTCTACACAAGGATGGGCAACAGCTTTTCCTTGGCCTAACTGGGTCTTAGCTGGCCATAATTCTCTCCCTTCTAGGAATCCGTCTGTCTCCTGGATGGATTCAGTGTGTGCCTTTTGCTGTATTGCCCCATCTTCCCTTGGGAGAAATAACAGACATGGTGCATACACTGCTTGGCTTTCAAAGCACATAATACACAGACATGCTATTTTTCACCACGAGCCACAACCGTTGCCTGAAGATAAAACATAGCTGAGTTTTCCCATTAAGGCTCCCCCCTCCCTGCAGACTTCGACATGGTTAAGAACTGGCATTGGAGACCTGGTGGCCATGAGGCGCCCTATTCATTCCTTGTGCTCTTTTCCACCAAACTGAAAACTTGCCCACCTGTTATGCAGCCCAGTTCTGTCTGAATGGTTTGCATAAAGATGCTATTGCCAGAGCTGTTACTCTCTGGTGCCTCTAGCTCAGTCCTGAATTCACTTAGGTAAAGGTAAAGGTTCCTTTGCTCGAAAGTCAGTCGAATTCGACTCTAGGGTTGCGGTGCTCATCTCCGTTTCAAAGCCGAAGAGCCAGCGCTGTCTGAAGATGTTTCCGTGGTCATGTGGCCGGCATGACTAAACACCAAGGCACACAGAACGCTGTTACCTTCCCACTGAAGCGGTACCTATTTATCTACTTGCAATTTCTTGCTTTCAAACTGCTAGGTTGGCAGGAGCTGGAACTAGAGACAGGAGCTCACTCCGTCATGCGGCACACTCGGGTCTCGAACTGCTGAACTACGACCTTCCACAGCCTGCAGTTCAGCGTCTTAACCACTTGAGCCACCGCAGCTCCCTCTGAATTCAATTACTTGGCATTTAATTCAATATGCCTTACTTTCAAGTAGAGCTGCTAAGCAGAGGAGTTGGTCCCACGGCATTAAGAATTACTGCTAAATAAACCCACTCAGGGCTGTGTCCCTAAGACTGCAGGCGTGCAGTTTAATACTAAATTTCACGTAAAAGAAATTGATTACAGTGAGGCTCACTCCCAAGGAAGGCTTATGCCCGAGAGCCAGTGCAGTGTCATGGTTGAGAATGTCGACTAGTACCTGGGAGATCCAGGGCTGAATCCCCACTCATACCATGGAAAATTACGGGGTGACTTTTGAGCCAGTCATACCCTCTCAGCCTAACCTATTCCATGGGGTTGTTGTTAGGATAAATTGGAGGTCAGGAGAATGATGTATGCTGCTTTGGATCTCCATTGAGAAGAAGAGTGGGGTATAAATGGAATAAACAGGCATCAGACTATAGCTTCACAGCCTCAATTCATTGTTCCAGCTAGAGATCTCTCTGCATCTTATACAGTCTACTCTACTTAAGGGTACAAAACATATTCTTCTATTTCTCTGAAGATTCTTACAGACTGGGTGGTCACATCCTCCCCTCCCTGTTTGGCTGACATCCTGCTTGAATAAGAGTTCTGATGAATCCAGAAGCTTGCACATCGGGTAATTTTAATTGATCCCAATAAAGACTGCTGGTTTGACTATTTGAGTGTGGGATTTGCAAATGGACCAACCCAGGTCCTTGTGTCTTTTGCCTCAATGCTGTTTTCGCTCACAAAACTCATGTGCCTTTTACACAATCCAAATACCCAGTGGAAATTGGTGACGGCGGCAATTTTCGGCTTATTTTAGTTATCACCTTGCTCTTTAAATGCTGGATACATTTGTGTAAATTGGCTCTTTTAGAATTTGAAGCTGTTTTTATTTACTTGCTGACCTGTATACATGTGTTAGATTTTAAAAGATTAATTTAAAAAACCTGTTTTACCTTGGCAGTATCACTGAAAGGCAAGATGCACATTTTTACAAACATGTGGCCAAAAAGAGTTTACTGGGCGATGTAATATAAGCACTCAGTGAAGCCAAGTGAACCTGGAATTCCTTGTAGGAGCGCACACATTTTGTTAGGGGAGTTTTCAAAATCCTAATATAACCCCCCCTTTTCCTGAGATCTATCTGGAAGAGAAAAAAAAATCACTCAAGGCTAACAGACCACACAGTTCTGCCTTTATAGAATAAAACAGACTAAAGGTCTAGAATCCTAAAAGAAAGTCCATCAATTCTGTCCTTAATCAGAATTCACTTTTACCCTCCTTTCCCAGTACATCTTGCATTCCTTCTTGGAAGAAAAAGAAAACATAACTGGCAGGAAGTGGAGCAGCACCCTCCAGGAATCAGAGGAGGCCTGTTCCATCACATCCTCCACACATATTTCATGGGAACAGATCCTTAGCGATGAGCAGGTCAAAGAATCGGTTTACAGTGGTGGGGGGCTAAGAAGAATCAATCCAACATAGGCATGCAATTTAGAAGCCATTGCAAAAAATAAAGGCTCTTCATTTTTTTTAAGATATCAGATTTTTCAGCAAACCTGGGGGGGGGGATATCCCCCAAATATGCAGGAAAATCTCTTTAGCATCTGTGTGGGCCACATGCAGCTAGGTACCAATTTAGTAACAGTTAATTTAATGGCACAGAAGTAGTTAAAGTTATAGCGAACAGTTTGTGGGGGGGGGGGAAGTACTGCATTTTACAAGGTGAGATTTATTTGGACAGCATTCGGATTCTGAGGCGACAGAGGACCTGGTCGCACGTCCAAAGCCGGGCACCCCGGGCACCCTTTCAAGGTGATGCTCACCTTCTCTCTCCTGCCAGAACTACATGTGGAAACACCCCACCCCACCCCCCGGCGGCAGAGAAGAGCAGCTAAGCGGGGGCGGGGGGACCTCAGCAGGGTTACCCACTCTGGCTGGGGGGAAATTCCTGGAGGATTTTTTCTTGGGGGGGGGTGACTGCGAAGGGGCGGATCTGGAGCGGGATGTCACCCAGGATCTCCGGTACACCACAGAGGCAGCTGCCGCCCCTTCCAGGGGACCTGATCTCTGTCGCCCGGAGACGAGGTGCAATTCCGGGAGCCCTCCAGGCCCCACCTGGAAACGGGCAACCTCCGTCAGCAGCCGGACAGTCCGGAAGCCGGCGAGGTCTGCGGAGCTGGGAACCCCACGCGCGGGCTCCCGGAGGGAAGAGGCCGGGGAGGGAAGAGGCCGGGGAGGGGGGGACGGGGGG